TGTTGAAACAGAGGATGATGATTTTCAGTGTGCTTGCCAAAACAGTTTGGATCTGGGTCAGCTCCACCGAGAGGAAACCCGTAGACCCATAGGGATGGAAACAGTGAGTAGAGCATTGATCTTGATGTGGAAATGGTTTGCATGATTAAAAAACGGGGAAAATATATTCATTAGAGAAAAAGGTCAGGTCTTTGGCTCAGGTTTATAAAAATATTTGTAATCCTTTTCAGGTTAAACAAAGACACCGAAGTTTGTCATGAACAAGCGAGGGACATATTAGTAATAATCTAATTATAAATGGGTGGATATTATGAGGTACCGGGGAGCAGACTGGGAGACTGGGAAAACATCAAATGTTGTTATTTGCGATGTTTTTTTGTTTTGTTTTTTACAATGTATTACAACTGATGTATTTATTTATTTATTTGTGGTGAACATAAAGATGAACCACAGATAGAATATTTGTAACTGTTGCATAGATACTGGTTTATGCCATTTAGATAAAACAGGAATGAATAATGTGAGGAGAAAAATAAATATTATTCATAATGAATAAGTTGTAATAATTCATCTCTCAAAGAGTTATCTATCATGTTAGAAAAGTCAGAGTTATTCAGGATGAATTATCAGAGTAGTCCTGCGTTGTTCCTTACTGTTTTGAATATGTCGTATCTGTTTCTATAAATAAGGATGAGTAATATTGTCTTATCTGTCTTTAGTTACTCATTATTGTCACTACATTTACACTTATTCATAAATAGATAAAGGACATTATTTATCCTTCTGGAATTGAGCCACTGGTAAATTTTGTGTTATCATTTTGGCCATAGCTTCCTTTCAGGAAGGCTTTCACTCATATACGCACATCCCCACACAGACACATGCATACACACTTCAGTAAGTCCTTGTAACTCATTTCATGTGAGAGTATAGTAAAGGAATACAGTACAAATGTATAAATCACATCCTGACTTTAAACCTACACAATTATAAAGTTAAATTTATGCAATAGGTCAAATGTGACATTCCTCAGAAATCTTTGTCCATATCAACAGGATGTCGTCACCCAGTTGTTGGAGACTTGTCAGTTGCACATTCATGATGTAACTCTCTCTCTCAAATGTGCTCTTTTGAGTTGAGAACCGGTGACTGTGGAGGCCTTTGGTTACAGGGAAATTGTCGGGTACAAGAATTTCAAAACTTACATTTCTTTCTTGTGAAGAGTAAATAGAGCTATGGATTAATCTGGACCTGTTTTGCCATAAACTTGCACTGAATCTCTTAGCAATAGTATTGCTGTTCTAGTCAGTGGTAATAATATCTCATACTGAGTCACTAGAAGTAGAATCAGTGTACCAGAGATATAAAAAAAAAAAAACTAACAGCACTGAACCGTCAGCCTTAGTCAGAATTATTTATCATTATCTTTAAATGAAGTGAATGCATAAGTTCAATGAGGAGAATTTGTATTCACTCATCAGCCCTGCATGGGTATTCAGGTATGTTAAAATTGTGTAAAAACACAAAAAACTAATTTCAGTGTTTTAATGATGATGCATGTTGTGTGGAAAGAAATATTTTAAAAACATTCAGACATCTGAAAGTGTGTATAAGGATGTATAAATATGCCAGGATGACCTTTACTTAACTAACTGTGGTAGTTTCCTCAGTTTATACTGTCCTTTACTAATAATAAATTACTAATAACTTTGAGTTGCTATTCTTTGCCCATTCTAATAGCCATCTGCTCACCTGTTTGGCTTTTTTTTTTTTTTCAACCTGGGCAATTATGAACCCCCCCCCCCTCCCCCAAACAAAGCATGATTAAAATGCTTGTTATTAATACCAAAATAATATTTCCTGTTATTCCTTTTTTCAGATAACAGCCTTATCCTTTGCCAAGCTGCATACAAATGAATCAAGTTCAGGAGAAGATATGATATTCTTAATAAATCCCAGAGTTGGTAAATTTAATAGTTACAGCAGTTAAAGATGTGACAAATAATTATACAAATATAAATGTTCAATGAAAGTGATATTATGATGATCATATAACAATTTAAAATATTTCTAAATCAACAAAATAAGAACAGGATTTAAAATGGTGCAAATTTTTGTATAGGAAATATCAAACTTTAAAATAATCTTCACCACTTGATGTTAAATTGCTGCATTTCCCATCATTCCATTCTCCTCAGTTTCGTCCTGAGTTAGTTTACAAAAAACAAAAAACACTGCGGCTATTTGGCTCATTTGTTGCTGATGAATCATTACCGATCCGTATGCTGTTATTCTCAAACTGTGTCCAAATTTTACTCTTCTGTTTTTTGGGAGTGGAATCCAGAAATACAGGGAGAAAATATCCTTTGCAGCAGGATAGAGACCAGACAGTCATCCTCCTCTTGGTTTCAACATCATGTCTGTGAATCTGGCCTGGCACCACTGTCTGGCCTGGGTCCAGGTCATTGTCTTGCTGGAGTCGTGATGCATCCCGCAGACAGTAGTCTCATCCAAAGAATTATCTGAAAACATTCAGAATAATTCATAGTGTGATGATTATAACATGTAACAGTGTTGCATGTTCCATGACATCAGTCACACATTTTGCTAGCATCAAATCTAAAACCCAAAGATAATATCAATAATTTATATCAACCTCATCCTATATTATTAATCTGTTGCCTAGCCAAGGTGAAAGGTGGATATATTTACATCCAATATGATGCATATTATCATTAAAAATGACTGATGAGAAAATGTCTCATTTACTCAGATGTTATGTTGTTTGACAGAAGCTGCTGCTGAAGTTAAATCTTTGCTTATCTGATCAACCCAAACATAAGATAAGAAAGTGCTGCAGCAGTACAAATAATTGTGCGTCCATTCAGTGCATCTAAGGGTCATTGCCAGGTTTTTGTAAGCTCTCATTTTTACATTCAGGGCAGCCTTAGCATAGAATAACTCGATGTTCACAACATGTTGTCATTTTCAGCCTTATGTAAGATATCTGACCCTTTCCTGTCCCACGAAAGTGCTTGCACAAATGACGCTCAATTAAAACAATGGATAGAATACCCAGAAATATAGCTTTTCCTTCCAACCTCTCACTTTTCAATTTTATTCTGCTTTGTCATGTCCTTTATGATGGAAAGGTTGCTGGAAAGACGAAAGGTCCTGGCAGCTTTCAAAAGAGGTTCTTTCTCAACCTCTAAAAAAAGTCATGGTGGCAGAAGGTCATTGCTAAAACTGTGAGAGTCGGTGCATGTCGTGCAGAATTGATGAGCCAAGTTATGAAAGCAGACGGCTTCAGACCCTGCTCGGCTAAGCATTTCTATCATTGTGGTGACAAAACTAATGGAATATTTTTATTGGTCATTATAACAAAACATGGAAGTGCCAAAATCCAATTTTTTTAAACAATATTTATTTGTTTTGTGTGTACATGAGAACATTACAGTTACAGTAGCTCAGTAAATAAAATAAAAAATAGTTTTGTACAAGCAAACACCTGAATAAACATTCAACACAATTTTCTTTTAGAAAATAAATACCACATAAATACTAAAAAGAATTCACAGGTATGCAGTGAAATGGCAGCTTACATGTTATGTGAACTTTTAAGTAACAGGAATAGCCACATTTTCCCAGCATTTTCATGAAGTTGTAGAACAATATGTTCAATATAAAACTCCCACTGGGAGGAAATACATGTTGAAACAACATTTCAGAGCAATCACAGATCTTTTTACAGTTTACAAAGGGATACAATGATTCAGTGGATGTGTCTAAATAAGCTCTTTTTCTTACATTGGCTTTGCCTTATTAGAGTGTTATACTAGTGCAAAATATATGTTGTGCAATAATGTGGTAAAAATTTACAGTATCCATATTTGTTTATTAAGAATATCAGAGATTCCTATATTAGGCTGTCAATGCTGTTTTTGTAGCTCTGTGAGGGAGACTCAGTGCTGCTGTAATAAAAGAGAGAAGATTAGCACTGAAATTTCAATAAACTTAAAAATAAAGACAATAAAAATGGTTAATCCTTCTCTAACCTGCTCAGGTCGAATTTGGTTACATTCTTCTTCATTTTTTTCAAGACCCACATAGCCATAGACACACCAGATAACAAGGCAGTGCCCCCTGTTGCCACACCAGCAGTAACTGCAGTAATTGGAGCAGGAGCTGTGGAGACACGGTGAAATGTGAATAGCGTTAAACTTTGAACTGAAACTTGTTATGTTAAGTTTATGCATTTTAACTTCTTGTTCCCCTTGTTCTGTTGTTGCTTATTTACCTTGACAGGTGGGTTTCTCTGCAGTCCAGTTACCATGATGATCACATGTCAGCAGCTCAGGTCCTTCTAATGAGTAGCCTTGGTCACAGGTGAAGGAGCACTGAGAGTTGTAAACTGACTCAGTGCTGGAACAACTGATGTGACCGTTTTTAGGCGCCTCAAGCACCGGGCATCGAACAACTGTTGTAAAGGACAGGAAGATGTCACTTTCATGTCATTAACATACAAATAAAGTTATGAACAACAAGCAATCCAAGTAAAATGGGTTCACATGTACCTGTGCAGGTTGGTGATCTGGAGGTCCATTGGCCTGGATGTGTACACTCCATGCTGTGTGCACCTTGCAGCTCATGTCCTTCATCACATGTAAAATGACAAACCATGCCAAGTGGATGGGGTGTGTCATGACTAAGAAATGAAGACAGAGAAGGGCTGCAGCTTATCTGACCATTTGTTGGGACCTCTGGAGCAGGACATCCTTTTGCTAAAACAAAGAAAAAGAAAGAAAGAAAGAAAATTAATCAGTAACATATAAGAACACAGACACTGTTAAAATTGCTATGATGAGTGAAAGGTGTTTGCAATAAATACTGATACAACTAGGCTTTCAGATGAATGATGGCTGACACAGAAACGTGTATTTTATTGAACGTGTCCTCATGATATAGAAGATGGTGGGTTATACTTTTCGTGTTCCTCTTACCTTCACAGTGAGGAATCTGCTGATTCCATGTACCTCCTGATGTGCAGGTCATTCTACTGGCTCCCACTAAATGGTAACCTTGGTCACAACTGAAGCTGCAGGTGTTTTTGTAGCTGAACCTCGTATCAGCATCTTCTCCACAGCTGACAAAGCCATTTGTCAAGTTTTGCAGCGCAGGGCACTGAACAGCTACAAAAGAGAGAGGCAACAGAAGGAGTTAAATTAAAGCTTTTATGTTAATCATCATGCAAATCATCCTCCAAATAACAAAAACTACACAACGATGAAAGGTTAAAAACATGTGGCCGTACCAACACAGTATGGCTGGGATCCATTCCAATTTGCTGATGCTTCACATTGCAGAGATGAAGATCCAGACAGTACATAACCTTCATCACAGGTAAAAGTACAGGTGGACTGATAGCTGAATGAGCCCAGAGGATCGGAGCATTTCATGGATCCATGTGTCGGCTCTGACATCTTCTCACACTGAATCACTGTAGACAACAGAGGGGAATAAAGCATTACGCCATGACTCCATCACTGTGTAGAAAATAATAAAAGTAACAAAAAGTAGTAGCAATATTATAAGCTATTAATACTTAAACTCACTTTCACATGTAGGGGGTTTTTCTGACCATTTTCCTGACCCCGTGCACCTCAGAGGAGTCTGCACACTCAGCTTGTATCCTTCCTCACAGGAATACTGACACAAGGAGTCATAGGAGAAACTGCCATAGTTGTGAGAGCAATTTACATGTCCTTTATCTGGCACAATCACCTCACTTTTGTTACACTGCACAACTGACAACAAATAAAACACACAGTTAGATATCAAATCCTTTATGTGACTTAAAATATGTATTTAAACTACCGTACACTGTCAATTTGTTTTCTTACCTTGGTCACACTTGTCTCCAAAAAACCCTTCAAAGCAATCACATTTGTGGCTGTTGATGGTTTCAACACACTCTCCATGCAAACAGGAGTCAATCTTACAAGCCGCTGGAAAAAACAGACATGCTTTTATAAGCCTTGCTAATCATAGTAAAAATGATATATCAAATAAACTATTTCTAAATGTTTTATCAGTAGATTACCTTGATAATAATGAACCAGAATAACAAATCTAAGGCAGCTAAAATAAAGCATATAAGCCCCAAACTGTTGCTTACCTGTGTAGCACAGAGCAGTCTTTTTTTTCATACACCTCTCGTCATTCCACGTGCCTGGATTTTGGTCTCGTTTAATGTACATCTCCACACAGTCCTCACTGACTCCTACACTTTGTCCAGTTTTGCCATTGTTTGGTTCTCCTTCTGCCCAGTTTGTCGCTTCTTCTGTCAGAGTTTTGTTGGTTCCTACCCAGGTCCAGACATCATTGATCTTACGGATCCCTATCCAGTAGTAGCCCTTTTTTTTGGGCAGCCAGTTGTTAAGATGCTTTATCTCCTCCCGGTTCTGGATGGCCACCATGTCTGTGTAGCTCTCCTTGCACCAATTACGTGCATCATCCCATTTCATTGATTTGTTTGAATAGACGTAAGACCAGGACTCAACACTAGTCCACATGCACAGCACTAAGGATAGAGAACAGAGATACACATTAGATGCAATTTTTTTGCAAAAATGCAAAAAATGTTAAGTTTCTATCAGGCTCTAAAACTTGCAGATGGGATGATGTCTGCATTGCACATACTTGAGCAGATAAAAGTGAACTGGATCCACGATGCACGTGCCTGAAATAATCCATAGCACAATTCCTAAAAAAGAAGTTAGAAAGATGGATTAACATACATTAATAGTATACTATCAATCACAGGCTATAAGATACAACTGAATAAATCTGCAGTGCAGAGAATGGAATTTAAACTGATTCAACTTCCACTCACCATTTTAAGTGATTCTTTAGCCTTTGACTTCAGTGCAGATCGATGTGATTCTGAGGGTTTTGCGCTGAAGTGCCTGCTTTTATGATGGTTGGCTTGGCCCAGGTTTCCTGAAAGCTTTCATAACAATTGGACTTTTGAGTGGAAACTCCACCCCGACTCTTATACTCCTCCACGCTACAAGAGGCTGTTCCTTTTGAGATAAAAAGAAAAGCAAAAGTAAAGTTAAAAAGAAAAGAAAAATAACAAATGAAATTCTGTTATTTATTAACACAGTTGCTATTTTCATTAGTACTTTCAGTATCATTATCATAAGCAGAAAACAAGTGTATTTACTTTGGTTTACAAACTATTTTTATGAAGTTACTAGTTACTAGTGTATTACATTTTGTGCTACCTTATATGAGTATCACACTACACTGTACTGCACGTGCAAATATTGCATTTTTAAACATATGCACAACCACTGCATATAGTGTTCTTCCCTGAGATGCCATCAAAACATGCTGCTCAGAGTGCTTTAGAGAACAATAACATATGCAAAAAGCCCCACACAGTCCATCAGCCCTGCTTCAAAAGCACCTGTGAACATCATTTAAGTGATCCTCTCATTAATTCGGGTGAGAATGTTGATGAGGAGAAGATCTGTCAAGCTAAACTGACTGAGTTAAAACAACAGGCAGTGGTTATTGAAGTCATTGTTCTTACTCTATTAACCATGGTTATCTGCAGGAAAACATGTACAGTCATCACTGCTTTGCATAAAAAGAGCTTCCCAGGGATACTGATGCTAGTAAGATTGCACCTAAATCAACCAATTATTGGAGCATGAAGAACTTTAAAGAGAGAAGTTTAGTTGTTATAAATACGTTTTCAGGGCACCTTACAAAGCCCAGCAAGCGCCAGTACCATCTCCTAAAGCAGGGGTTTCAAACACAAGGCAGGGGGCCAGAACTGGCCTGCCAAAGACTCCAATCTGGTCATTGGTTAGTTTTTGGAAAATGTCAATGAGAGGATACATTTTATTTTTTCAACTGCATTTTCTATATTTTTATCAGCTTATGAAAATACCACTCTAAACTGAAATAGCAGAAATGTTCCAGCTTTTTTACTGTCTACGAAAGAAATTTTTTTCTCTCCATGGGCTCATGTTATTAAAATGGGCATTTTTTGTTAATTAACAAGATGTTTTATAATTTTAGGACAGACTGGGCAATGAGCTACCAGACTTCTAATTTCTTACAATTTAAGTCCAAAGACTGATCCTGACAGATTTCTTTCATTTACCAAAACAGCATTTCTTTATCAAGAACAAAAAGAGATGTACTGTTGAAACTTCTTTTTCTTGTATCACAGGGTTTAAATGTGTAGTTAAACTTCTTTAGATTGATAGAAAGAGTTTCACTGGTCTGGCCCACTTTACATGAAAGGGGGCTGTATGTGGCCCA